TCTCCGCAGATCGCATTGTACTGGCTGCGTCAAGGTTGCTTCATGCTGTGGCTGCATGCGTAATACTATTGTCTTTTGCAGCTGGACTTCGTAAATCGTATTGGAGTGGCTGCACGAAGGCTGCGACAGTGATTTGTCAGCAGATTTTCTCCATTTTGGCGCTAGTGATTTTCCTTCTAAAAATCCTTTTAAAAAGTGCTTCAAAATCGTCTTTTTTTTCGCTCTGGCGTCGAGATCCGGTTTTGGAGCTACAATTTCCGACGCCATTGCGCGTAGTTCTCTTGTGTTTTGCAACTCAGTCTCCGCAGATCGCATTGGAATGGCTGCGTCAAGGTTGCTTCTTGCTTTGGCTGCATGCGTAATGTCTTTTGCAGCTCGACTTCATAAATCGTCTTGGAGTGGCTGCATGAAGGCTGCGAAATAAATTTGTTAGCAGATTTTCTCCATTTTGGCACTAGTGTTTTTTTGTTGCACGTAGGTTTAGAGCAGTGGGAAGTGTGGGGCGTAAAGACTGCAGTGTGAAGTGTGAAGTGTGAAGGAAGCAGTGGGAAGTGAAAAGTGTGAAGTGTGGAGTGTGAAGTGTGGAGTGTGAAGTTTCAGTTTGGAGTGCGAAGAGCGCAGTGTGAAGTGTGAAGTGTGAGGTTTGGAGTGTGAAGGAAGCAGTGAGAAGTGTGAAGTGTGAAGCGTGGAGTGTGAAGTGTGGAGTGTGAAGTTTCAGTTTGGAATGCGAAGAGCGCAGTGTGAAGTGTGAAGTGTGAGGTTTGGCGTGTGAAGGAAGCAGTGAGAAGTGAGAAGTGTGAAGTGTGAAGTGTGGAGTGTGAAGTTTGAAGTTTGGAGTGCGAAGAGTGCAGTGTGAAGTGTGGAGTGTGGAGTGTGGAGTGTGAAGACTTTGCTTCGTCTCTCGCTGAAAAAATCAAACGGTTGCCGAGGGAAGGACACGGTCGGGACAGGGTGTCTTTGAACTATAGGTCATTTATGTTTGGGAAACTTCCGCCGCCGGCTTGCCCGGGTCTATGTTACTATGAAATTATGAATGAACAATTCATAATTAGTTCAAATGATTTGGTAAATCAGCTGTTCAATACAAGATGATTTGCTGAACATCATAATGTGACCAATATTTTTTGTAAGGCTGTACTTAAGCAAATCACCTCACAGCATATGGGGGTCCGTAGCCCCCCTCCCGTGTGAGGTCCTGAGCGCTCAGGACCTTGTACCACCTCGAGGTGACTATCTTAACTACAGATGAAAAAAAAATCCAACTAGGGGGTTACAAGGTCAAACGGCCTGCCCCAATCTACGCTGGGGTGAGGAGGTACAAGGTCCTGAGCGCTCAGGACCTCACAGGGGATGGGGGTTGGTAGCCCCCCTCCTGTACAAGGTGATTTGCTTAAGTACAGGCGGAAAATTAAAAATATTCAGGATGGGAATTCACTGCGAATTCATTCGGTTTCCTTTTCAGTAGTAGGCTTGTACCACGTACCCATTTGAAACTTTGGGGTCATCTCCGCACAAACAGAATCAGCAGCCAGCATTCCTTTCCCCAAATCCCAAGGTTCGCTCAGTGGGCAATCACCACTGCTAAGGCTAATCAAATGTAGGTCAAATCTAATCTCATTGCTGCTCCCCACCCTCTTCCTGGACCTTCTCTTCTGCCAAAACCATTTCCTCTTCAACCTGAATATCCCTCACAAAAAGATCATCGCAATCACAATCGTTTGAGATGCATTTCAATGCTGATCTGTCTCGCCTCATGTAAAGGCAAGTCATGGCATATACTTAAAATGATTGGTGATTCAACATAATATAATCAGAACTAAATAATGACTAAGCCAATTCAAAGTTACCGATTCAGAAACTTCTTCCAGTAGCACAGGTAATGGAACCGAACTTCCTCTTTGTTGATGCTAGCATGGAAGGCTCAAAAATTGCATAGTACTATTTGACTATCTTAACTGCAGGCCAGGTAGAGTGTAGAGTATGGAGTGTAAAGTGTAGAGTGTGGAGTGTGGAGTGGAAAGTGCAGAGTGTGAAGTGTGGAGTGGAAAGTGTGGAGTGTGGAGTGTAGAGTGTGCAGTGTGGAGTGTAGAGTGCGGAGTGTAGAGTGTAAAGTTCCACCCCTGCCACGCAAAACGACATGACAACCTGCTTGGAAACCTTCGAAAAGGAGATATTTTGCAGCTTCCCCCATAGACACGGCGACGCCACAGGAAAACCAGAGACTTGAGACGAGAGATGTGGGAGCATCAAAACGAGCCTTTCGTGCAAGGCTTCCTCCAATTTTCACACTTTGTAGCTTCAAAATTGACGTTTTCCTACGAGTTTTCGTCCGAGCCTTTAAATTTGCTACCTCAAAATCGATGTTTCGTGGGAGGCTTCCGTCAATTTTCAGCACATCTCACAAAATCACGTCTGCCACGGAATCTGCACCTTGTCGCCACTTGACGCTGCCCTGCCAATGCGATTCGTAAAAAACACGCAACACGACGCGTCTAAAGAGGTGCGCCTGCCACGCAAAATGACGATGAACACGTCCAAAAAGTGCCGCCTGCCACGAAAACTGCAACGCATCTTCTGAAAACGTCGCAAAAGTAGTGCGCCTGCCACACAAAATGACTTTCGACACGTTACAAAACACGTCTGAATGTCACGAAGTGCCACGCTTGCCACGCGAAACGCAAAAATTACCCCTTCTGGAGAACTTACCAGAGGCACGGCCATATAGCAATCGCGCGAACGGTTGCGAGGGGTTGCGGACGGTTGGGCAACGGGAACCCTTGCTACGCATTCTGGAAAGAAAGGGAAAGGAAGGGAACGGAAGGGACAGGAAGGGAAAGGAAGGGAAAGGAATGGAAAGGACGGGAAAGGAACGGAAAGAAAGCGAAAGGAAGGGAAAGAAAGGGAAAGAAAGGGAAAGGAAGGGAAAGGACGGAAAAGGAAGGGAAAGGAAGGGAAAGGACGGGAAAGGAAGGAAAGGAAGGGAAAGGAAAGGAGAGGTTGATTTGGAAATCAGCCGCCGTCGCATGACCGTGCTCAAATGAGCTTGCTTGGCTATTGCACACTGTCACTCAATGTTTCCGCGCAGAGCTGAAATTACTTTACTTCGAGTTATCCCCACCATGACATTTATAAGTTTTGTTACTGGCAAATCTTCTGGCATTCTATCTGACATATCTTCTGGCATTTTATCTAGCATATCTTCTGGCATTCTATCTGGCATATATTCTGGCATATCTTCTGGCATTCTACCTGGCATATCTTCTGCAATATGTTCTGGCATATCTTCTGGCATTCTATCTGACATATCTTCTAACACTCAATCTGGCATATCTTCTGGTATTCTATCTGGCCGTTGAGGTCCAGCAGTGCACACTGAGCTGGGAAGGTCCCAGGTTGAGGTCCAGCGGTGCACACTGAGCTGGGAAGGTCCCAGGTTGAGGTCCAGCGGTGCACACTGAGCTGGTTTGGTCCCAGGTTGAGGTCCAGCGGTGCACACTGAGCTGGTTTGGTCCCAGGTTGAGGTCCAGCGGCGCACACTGAGCTGGGAAGTTGGCAAAGAGCTTGGCGAAGAGTTGGCAAGGCGCAAGTTGAGGTGGAAGTTGATGCAGACATGATCGAGGAGAAACTGGAGGAGGAGGCAGAGGAGGAGGAGAAGGCGGAGGACGAGGAGGAGGAGAAGGCGGAGGACGAGGAGGACAGCTAGCCGAGGAGAACAACTCTGATAGAATCTAACAACCCTCACCTGGCAGGTGGGGAAAAATGAAATTTGCAGTGAATGCGTCCATAATGTTCATCTTCTAAAAAGAAGCTGACAAGAGGCGAAAAAGAAATAAACCAATTATCAGTATTACTCAAATTTGTTTGCTGTCGTTTTGCTTTTGGGTTCTCAGGCCCCCCCTTGTCTATCTCTCTGATAATTATCTATCTCGATCTCTTTCTATCTCTCTATCTCCATCTCCATCTCTATCTCTTTCTCTACCTACCCATCTATCTATCTATCTGTCTATCTATCCATCTATCTATCTGACTGACAGGAAGCAATTGTGCCAGACTTCCTTCAAGAGTGGAAGTTGACAGGTCCAAAACAAAGCAATTCTGCGAGACTATCTTTAAAAATGGAAAGTTGAATTGAGTAAAGAGCTGACGCCCTCGTACCAATGCATTTTCCGATTTTTCCAACCCATCGCTCTAAAGTACTGCGCCGGCCACGAAAAAGTGAAGCCAAGTCATACGAAGTGTTGCGCCTGTCATGCAAAATCATCTTAGCACACCTGATAATGTGATGCTCCAAACTGCAACCTTTCTCAGGAAATTTGCGCCCTGCTCTCCGAACATATTTGATGGAGATGTCTCTTGTACTGCGTCCGCCACGCGACATACATCTTTGCACAAACACTCCATGCCTGCCATGGTTTTCGAGACTGCCGCAAAACTATCACGTTTGGTTCACTTTTGGCAAAGTGCAGAATCTGCGCTTGCCACGAAAAATGGCGGCTCAACGTCCAAAAGTGGTCTGAACGTGCTGTGTTTTTAACATTTTGACTTGGAAATGTGCTTCACGCCACAGCCGCGTGACGCGTGCGCTTTTCAACATCGCAGCTTCCAAAAGTGGTCCGAACGTGGTGTGTTTTTAACATTTTGACTTCGAAATGTGCTTCGCGCCACAGCTGCTGCACTTTTGCAGCAGCTCAACTTCCGCTCCGCGCTCGCCGCTTTAGCGGACCCTCCGGAGCCAGAAAACATTGGAAAACACAGCATTTCGCGACTCTTTTTTGGCTCTTTCGCTCACTTTGATTTTCTTTCCACTCGCTCTCTTCTCTGACTCTTTCTTTTCTCTGACTCTTCTCACCACCGTTCTTGCGTCTGTCCATATGTAGGAAGTTTGACTTCTAAGTTTCCTTCGATACATGGACTTCCCCTTCACAACGGGCTAGTTGTGCATGTCGCAGGAAACCTTCCAGCCAGATTTAGCCGTAGCCAAAGTGTGGCATGCCGCTCAGGAACTCTTGCGAGGTGCGCCACTGGATGTGGCCTTGAGTGGATGGTGCAAGCATTGGCACCCTGCCGCCAAGGCGTTGCTGTGGAGCCAATGCAACATTGACGTACCATGTGAAGGCTAAGGCATACCTAACATGCGATGCTTGCTGTGAATAAGATTTCAAGTTAGATTGAATGTGCAACAACCAATAACTGTATCACCCAGAGCAACGCAGATGCTGGAGGCATAAGAACATTGGTAGTAAGAGCTGGCTTGGCAGTGTGCTTTGAGGCGTCTTCGCTAGCTTCTGCACACATGCTCAGCCAGAAAGTTGACTCGATTGACGTCTTTCTTAGCCACGCCAGCTGTCAGCATTTTAAGTTCTGCTTTGTTGCTGCCAGTACTGGCAAGCTTTACATTGAAGCGTCAATTTGTATTATTAAGTGTCTAAAGAGCATCATGGGAGACAGTGGGTGTTTGCTTACCATTGGTCATTTGAGTTTTCAAGGATTGGGAGACTTCACACTGGACGAAACTACTCACTTTGCTGATGGTCTTCAACTCCCGCGCATCGTTCATCGCGTGCTTGCTGGTGAGCGTCCTGACATGTATTCTTCGCATCACCCAGGTGCTGCCAGACGAGTTGTGGACAGCGTGTTTTGGTCACATTGCGTTTCCTGACCTGAAGCATTTCATTTTTAACAGCTCGATGTCCTGTTCAGAAGAAAATTGGGTAGTTGATGCCAGTTGGATCATCCTGATCAATCTGGCGGGCCCAACATGAGTAAGTCGAGAGCTGGCCATACAAGGTGTCTATATTTTTTCCCGGCTGACCCGGTATCCTTACTTTCCACCATATTTCTGCATTCAATAGTCAAGTATTCAAGTATGGCCACGTCAGCTGAAAACTTTGCTCAGCCAATTCCGCGTTTTCGGGGCAGTCGTTTGCTGCGCCCTCTGTTGTAAGTCATGAATTGTCGGAACTCTACTCCAAGCTTCGACAAGAAGTCCACAAGCTGGTATACGAGCTGATTAAATTTGCCGAAGTGAGGATGTGTATTCTAGAGGGCTTTGTTTTTTAGGAAATTGAGCCGAGACTCAAAAAGCGATAATTTACCAAAAAACGATAGAGCGCTACAACACGTTCTCATAAGATGTTGATGTTTGCTGTCAGTTATCCTTTCCAGCAGCGCTCTGGCAGCCAATTTGATGGTTTTGTGCCGTGTAGTGCATGTTCGCACAGCCAGCACACTGTGTTTAGCTGGATCTAGAAACACACGCAGCCAACGCGCTGGGCATGGTGATAGCTAATGGGATTTGACTTCCCCTTTTGGAAAAATATTGCATATGCACACAATTTCCCAAAAGAGGCGGAAAACAATATTGCATAGTGCAAATAGATTCTCCCTCTTCTACACAAATCTACACGCACAAACTATCAACAATCTCTGCGTGGTCTGTTTTCGGCATATAGCTCCTCACTGGCCAACAGTCAAACCATGCCAAACCCAGGTTTCTGGTTGTGCTATGCTTTTGGCAAAGGATCAGGAGATTTTCCTGTCGACAACAGGTGGTTTTCCTGGATCGACTATGTATCGATCAGAGCGATCCGGAGGTCAAGCAGAAGGGCATCCTGGGACTGGGAGCTTTCGTTCTCAAATCAAAAAAGATGTTGGTCCTATGGTCACCGCGATACTTTACAAGACTGTGGTGTCGCTCGCCTGAAAATTGAGCTTGAAACGCGTGTCCATCGAGACAAATCTTTTCCAGCAAAATTACACTACTCTCAAAATGAATAAGGTCAATTGGCCCATGTGGCTTGAGTCGGTTGGCATATTCATGTTGGCCTAATCCAGCTAGAAGCGATTTGTTCTGGCACAGGCTAGAAGATGGGATTCGTCAAGTGCTTCGATTGGGCACATGACACAGATCTGGATGAAATATGATGACCTTGCGTTGACCTCTCTGGAATGATGGTTAGTAAGGGAATCAACCCCACACGGCCTCATGATGGCTTATGTCTTCTATTGGCATGTTACTGAATTCTCATTCGCCCAAAGAGATAAAAAAACAACATTGGCTCCCAGGTACTTACGAAATTGGATGCTTTCTGAGCCTCAGTCGTCGGATCCATGACATTGAAATCCTTCCTGTGAAGGTTGCTTTGATTTTGTTTCTAGGCCTTGGAAGGCGTTCTGGAAGGCTTTGTGCTGACACCCATACGATTTGATACCACTGATCTTGGACATATTTTAGTGACCATTTTAATCCGCTAACCCAATTAGTGCCGTAGAATTAAAAACATAGATATTAAAGATATCAATGCCACCATGTTTACATATGTGCGACTACATGTTTTTTTGTTCACAAATCATTCCAGATTTCAGTTGTTTTGATGTTGGCATCTTTTTGTGAGTTCAAAGAGTGCACCGATTCTGCCAGAGCACTGCTTTTGCTGATGCACAGCCACCCTTCAACTCACAAAGTGGGGCATGCTATATTGTGTATATATGCATACAGTATGTATACAGCTATATAATAGGCTTGTCTTAAAGATATCCTCCGTAATTTACAATGTTTCGAACTGTTAATTAAAACTCAACAAACCACAAGACTTTGAAAAAACACCAAAAACACCAAAACCACCTAACCCTAAACAAACCCTAACCAAACCCTAAACCAACCCTAAATCAACCATAAACAACCCTCCAAATAGACCCTAAAGGAACCTTGAATAAAGCCCTAAAACAACCCTAAATAGCACGACAATTAACTAAATAAAACCTAAATAAACCCTAAAGAAAATCCAGTAAAGAAACCCTAAGTAAACCCTAAAACAATCTTCAATAAATCCTAAACAAACCACAACGTAAGTAAACTCCAATGAAACTTTGGGCGAACGTCCACCCTGGAGGGATATATATATATATATACACAGAGATTTTTTTTTTTAAATGTACATACACATGTACCAATTTACATAATGTCTGTAGGTACATTATTGTCTACCGAGCTTTTGCATACGCAGTCCATCCAAGCCACGCTGCTTCGCTGAGTCGAGGTATTTGACCGCGGCTCTATGGCATGCGTTGATGATCGCATACTACCTGTTGATATCGGCCAACCCAGAAGGCTTTGATTCTACTTACTTGGCTGGCTTATTGATTCCAGTTGTGGCAATGTGTTTGTTATTTTCTATGCTTCTGCCCATGGTGAACTATCTGGGAATGAGCATCCAAGCGCAACAAGAGGTTTTGTCAAGACACGACTGCAACATCGTCACAAACCCTGCAAAGACTATTTACGCGGTTTGGAACAATTCTTCAACCGTTCTCTATCGAGACAGAGAAACATAGCCCAGGGTCAAAGTTCACATCTCATTTGCTCAGGTATGATGCAGGAAGTGAATGAGCTCCCGAGGCTGCGAGGGAATGGGACCAAGTGATCTGCAATGATTGGAGAGTGAGATAGTCTGGGAATGTCTGGGATCAGGATCTGGTCAGCGTTTGCAAAGCGAGTCCTTGCCGCAGGCAGTTGCAGACCTTTCAAGTCCGAGAAGCCAAGTGTTTCTGCTGCAGCAATAACCACCACCATCCACAGACGGGAGCGGAACTGATATGCGACCGGGAGCTGGTCTATGAGGGCCTCAAAGATTTGTATTCGGCCAAACCAGGCACCTTGGATGCCGATACCAACGGAGAGAGACTCAGAGAGATGCATATAGGGTGCATCATGCTGCCGCGCAACCCTAAGAACATGAATGGATGTTATGATTTTGATGATTTTGCCTCAAGCTTTTAAATGCCTGTCATCCATCACGGGAAGCCGTGGTTTGACAGTCGCTTCAGCTGCAGGAGCCGATTGCCTTGAGGAGTTCAACACACGGGTCCAAGAACGGCTTGGTCCAAAGGTTTTCAGCCGAATGGGAACGAGCTTTCCTGTGCAGTGCCATGCAATGAAGTCATGAAGTAAATTTGGTAAAGCCCAAATCACAAAAAGCATACAAAAGCAATCAAAAGCAAAATTGGGTACGGTTCGCAATTGTAGTATTATCATGTATTATCATGTATTATCATTCCCAAATGAAATAGCGGTCTTCTTTGTTGAACCCTCGTGGCCGAATACGACCTTCCAAGTCCCTGGTGGCTCGGTCGTGGCTCGGTCGTTCCCTGTGCCTGAGGTATGGAATATATGTGGTCTTGGCCAGCAATCTGCCATTCATTGGGCACTTCATCGTTCGGGTGCAAAAGGGCTTGGATCCGATGGATCCGATGGATGGTTTTGATCAATCCGTTTGGATTTTGCGAGAAACTTTGCGATGGGTTTCTTGACCAAGATTTATGAGCGCTTGCAACGATAAGCTAAACACTCGGGACGTCTCAGGACGTTAATACAAGCCACATTTCTACAGAATGTAGCAGAGTTGATTTATCTTGATATTTTGTGTCGTGAACAAGCTAGTTCTTTGAAGTTCTTTGTCTTATCAAATCAATGCCAATGTTCTGACTTTGCATTGCAGTACCAGACAAATGGCAGTCACGCATGCACTTTAATGGTATGAAACACTCCAAGGGAGCATGGGCTGTGAGCATTTGTGTGACGTTCCTAAGATTTCAAGGCAAAGATACGAAGTAAGAGATTTAGTAAGCTGGAGTTGCGATGCATGTGTCAATTTGCTCCAGCTGTGAAAGAGCATCCTAGGCTGGCAGGTTTAGACTGGTGTGCTGGCTGGGAATAACGAGTTGTGACCCCTCTGAGTTCTTACTTGGCAAAGCTTCAAATGTGAAGTGGCCAAAGTGGCTTCTCTATCAAATCATATCAAGTCTATCAAACAAATTCAAACAACATGCAGCTTTTCAATTGCAAGTTGAGGGTCCTGAATGGAGATGAGCAGCCAGCTAGCTGCTCACAATCTCCCTGCAGAGGTTCAGCCCTTCCTTTCTATGCTTTTTTCACAAAGATTCGCAGAATGGGCTTGGAAGCTGTTCAACTTCAGATCCAGAGACTTGGCTGCAGCCAGCTTAGCCACTCAGCGCAGACGCCAAGCACATATTTCGGCCCATTTCCTTCTCTACAAATCTTTACGTTTAACAGCCTTCGGCATTCCGCCGGCTCTCTGGCCTTTGGCCTACAGTCTGCAGGCTCAAAGCAGGGGTTGTGTAAAGCTGGTTTGTAAAAGGTGGTTTGCGTAAAAAGTGGTTTGTATAACAGTTGGTTTGTGTAAAACCTGGTTTGTGTAAAAGCTGATTTGTGTAAAAGCTGGTTTGTAAAAATTGGTTGGTGCAAAACGTGGTTTGTGTAAAAACTGGTTGGTCGAACCGTTGGTTTGCGTAGAAGCTGGTGCGTGTAAAAGCTCTTTTGTGTAAGAGCTGGTTGGTGTAAACGGTCGTTTATGGAACAGCGAGTTTGTGTAAAAGCGGGTTTGTGTAAAAGCTGGCTGGTGTGAAAGTGGGCTTCTGCAAAAAGTGCTTGGTGTAAAAGAGTGTTTGTGTAAAAGCTGGCTGGTATAAAAGTTGGTTTGTGTAGAAGCTGGCGTGTGTAAGACCTTGGAAATTAAACAGAAAGGAGCCAAGCTGGTAGATGCAGAGGAAAAACAGGAGTGGCAGGTGTGTATGGAAGGTGTCGGGCACAAGGTTAGAACGTACTTCTGATGATGATGATGATGATTATGATGATGATGACGATGACGATGACGATGATGATGAGATAAATAAGGTCAGCGCTAGGTAGCTTGAGAAAAGAGACAAGACGAGACTATACTAGACTATGCTAGTATTATGCTAGACTATACCACACTATATATACTGCTATACTAGACCATATTAGACTATACTAGACTTACTAGGTGGGGGGAGGGGGGGAGGGCAGCAAAAGCAAAATCCGCAGGAGATATGGCGATTCAAAACAGAAATCCGTCGAAGGAACAAATCATAGGTGAAACATGGTGAAACTAAAACTATCACAAGATGTATCACGAGAACATCCACAAAACAAGCCGGCAGGCCGGCGGATTATATACTTTATTTTCCAGGATGGTCCAGTATTGTGTATATTTGTGTGCCGTGGACAGCACAGTATTGGGCACAGCAGTGATGCCCGGAGCTGCATCGGATTAACTGGAGAGCTGGCAGATCTGCCTCAGCATTTCTGCAGGTTTGTGCTTGTCTATCTGCATCTCTCCAGCCATAAGTCTGGCAGTGGCCAGCACGTGGATCAGCATGGAAGCTGTGCTATGGCTGACTCCAAAAAACAGCGTGCTGCTTGGCCAAGAGTTGGATGCGACATGTCACATGTCCTGCTACGGAACCTTTAGAACCAACAAGTTCCGCTGAGGTTACCAGTTCTGCCTTTCTTTGCGGTGTTGCTCCTTGATCTTTACTTGTACATGGACGTCTTCAAGAGCATCACTTGGCGACAAACATCCAAACCCGCAAGCGCAAGAGAAACACAGCGCAGCAATGATGCTGGGGACAGCTGCTCAGGGAACTGACATGTGCTTTCAGATGTAGACCCTCAAGGGGAGACTGATGGATACAGAAGAACCCCTTTTATGATACGAGCACTTGGTGCCCTCTGCATGGTAATCTAACCTGGCAATGGAACATCGGCGCCCAATACCCTTATGATTACGCCGTGTCGTGTCCCTGCAGGATGCATCAGTTGCAGTCGACATGTTGAATTCCGCAAGCCCGACCGCATGGGACAAGTGGGAGGTGGAAGAGGATGGAGATACCCTTGTAACCTGGAAATTCTAGTCGAGTCATCCCATTAGACGTGGGTGCACCTATGCCGCCGCCGTTGAATAAGGATATTCTCTGTTTCACTACAGTCTCACAACGATGCTCACTGACATAGTCGATGTGATTGTCGACGTCGTCAGCCAGCAGAAATTCTTTAGACTCTTTCTTGCTTTCAACGATTTTCAAAGTCATCTTTGCATATCTTTGCTGTTTCGGCTGGTATGCTGGGTCACTTCCCGCACTTTCAGCTACGCCGGCAGTAACCAGGAGTCTTCATTTTCCCAGTGCTCGCACATTTTCAGACTCATCTTTTGAAATGAGGACACACAATGATTACAATGCACATTACTTGGACGTTTTCAGCTGTTTAAATGAAACTACTAGTATCAGCCAGTGTGCGAAACATTTGCATTGCAGATTGTCTGAGAATTTGTGAGCAACTGTGATCCCTTCTTGGTGTCTGATGTTAAATTAAACATCGCAATGAAGCCGGAGATGCTGCCTGGAAATAGTGGAAGTGCACTATTTGGCTCCTGGCGCCACCTTCACACAGTATATAATCTCTAGCCCCTAGTCCACCCAATTGGATGCTCAAATTCCAGATTTGAATTTGGCTTCATGGTTTTAAACCGCCCAAATCTTGTGGATATTCATTCCTGACCGCAAAAGCACGTTCACTTTTTGAGTGTTTGATAGTGTTTGGCCGTTGAGCCATTTGTGACTCACCCTCGCGTCTATCCGCAGCATGCAAAGGTTACAGTATTCACATAACTCCTCTGAGCCGCTCCGGATGATTGTTCTTTACCCCCACAGGACACAAAGACTCAGAATGAAACTAGCAAGCGCGCCGAAAAAATGCCGAAACACACTTCATCCTGTACTGACTACAGATGACTACAGTATATAATCAAGAATGCCTCAATTTGTGACGTCAGTCCTCTACATCTCGCATTTTTACACCCTGTGGATGAACCCCCTACTACAGGGAGGGATGTAGGCCTCCAGATCTGCTGTCACGGGTTTATCGGCTATTCCGATGGACAACGGGTGTCAAGAAATGGGGCATTGCCTGTATGTTGTCTTCTCAACGATGAGATTTTGGGGCACACCATTTTCCCTTTTATTAGGCAAACCCACATTGTCAGTCACATGTCACAATATGTCACAATCATTTTTCTTTCCAATGCTGCAGCAACCGGGTAGCCGTCTGCTCTGATGTCCCTCCTGCAGCACTGGCGATGCAGCTTGCGGAGTGCCTGAGCCGTCGGACAAAAGGGTTCCTTTCAAAATTAGGTATGTCCGTATAACCCATATGTTTGATGGGGGAATGATTACCCAGTGGATTTTCAGGGCAGAACCATTTTTTGACAAACCCACATTCAAACATCATCTCAATCGCTTTCCATCGCTTTTCTTCAACTTTGATGTCTCCGTCTCTGGTTTCTTCGAGGCCATGTGCGATTTCTTCGCACTAGCCGTCAAGCTGCGCAGCCCAAAGTGGCCAAGGTGCTTGTCTCTGTTGGACTGACAGGTTCTCCGGCTGAAACAATCGGCGGCATTGCCGGTTGACGCGTTAGATGGTACTGGGCTACCCCGATCCTGGCCAGAAAGCAAAGGTGCAGAATGGCATGAGGTACAAACCTAAGTCAAATCTTGGAGTATACTCAGTATATATTGTGTATCTATATATAATATGTTTATTATATATGTATATATATTACAATTGTAATACATCAAGTATATTTAATTAAGTATATTGTTTGCCTTTCAGCCTCAGTATGATGGACTAGCAGGATGAGATGTCAGTCATCATGCAGTCTATTTGTAGTTCAATAGATGCTGGCTTTGAAATTGCTGGTAGTTTGGGGCTTGGCCGTGCATGGCTGTGCTTTTTGAGTCAGTTCCCAGGTTCAGTGATGTTTGGTGTCGCCTTTGCACACTTGAGCTCCGATGAGAACGTTGCTGGCTGCAAGCCTGGCTGAGTGCTGTCCCCGGGTAAAAGAATCTCATTGGGGGTATTTCTCAGTTTACTGGTGCAATCAGTTCCAGGATGTGAAATATGTTCCCCTACCCCTTTCTTGCTGCATTTATTTGGGACATTTGGCAAACATTGCTTCAATTTCATCCAATTCATATGGACTGAGACTGATTAGACCTGCAAACGGCACCTCCCGAGGAAAAGGTTTGGATCAGCCGCCGTGGACCGCTGTCACTTGATGCTCAACGAGCCATCGAATTGGTACCTCTGCTGCCCTGTGTGGGCTCAGGATTGGTGGCTGCCTCTCAGAGGCAGATCAGATGCCATTCGTACAACATACACACTGGAAAGGACTGGAAAGGACTGGAATGCATATTTGACGTGAGTGTATTGACTTCGTGCAAAGTATTTTCATGCTGAGTTTTGAAAAATGAACCGCGAACATTTGACGTGGACACAACACATATGAATACAGTCTGAATACATATGACATGTATGACATATATGTCAGTCATTGTCAGTCACCCTTTGTCTATGTCGAAACGTCGATCGTTCGCAAAGGAGCGACCTGCGACCCAAGGTCTTGCTGACAAAGACCATGCCAAAGCAAGTGAGACTTGGGATGACTTGGGTTTGCCTAAAAATATGCTACCTCATTGGTCCATTGGTCCATTGGTCCATTGGCTAATTATCATTTTCCCATATTTTCCCAATGGTGATTTAGAAGGTATACCATGGTATAGCCCATTTTTAGACAGACCCACTTGGCAGACCTTGGCAGAATATCCACGAAAATCACATCAGATCAGATTTGAGATGACTCCAGGGTGATGGCAGGAAGATGCTGGTCCTTGGTGATCATTAGGAAGACAACAGAATGGTTATCAGATGTTATCAGTAGGGTCCTTTATAGATCTTTATAGTATAATATATGGATAGTGGTTGAAACTTTGTTGATTGGTACGTGTTGCGTGAGATTGCTGTGCTCGAAATACCTGTGAAATCCTGTCCAGGAAAGCACTTCGTTTACCGATTAGCGTTCACGAGTTGACAGCGTTGCCACTGTCGACTCTTGCCCGCAGCTCCTTTAATGATTCTAGCGCCAAACCTCTGACGATGTGCGAATCTGATGGAGCATTTTTGTTGCAGTGGAGTTTCTCCGGATGAAAGTCCATATCCTTGCGCAACTTAAGAAGGTATATGTTACATGTTCTTGCAACATTCCTCAAACATAAGTTTCACATAAAAGGTGTTCCGTGCCAGCTGAAAGCCGAACACGTAAACCATATTAAAACTCCATGTGCTCCCGGCTCCCGTCGCAAGGATTCTGCTGGCGTTCAGTGGCTTGGTTGCAAGGCTGAAACCATGTCCCACCACGGCCATCAGCCACTGAGGATTTCAGTTGTCCTATGAACGGTGGTGGGCTGCTTGACATGGAACTAGTGGTGCCATAAATGGTGCCATGACACTTCGATGCGGTGGGTGTGATCAGCATCTCAATATTGCAGTGAAGTGGTGGTTGTTGATGAGGCGAAAGGGGGCTGATCTCGGCACATTGTTTGATGGCTGAAATAGTGATCTCATGTGATCTCATGTGATCTCATCCAACATTTGGCCGTCGCAATCTGAGGCTTCCCGTCAACAGGTTCAGGAAGTTGGGACGAATGCCATCGCTCTTGCCATGTGTTCTGCCAATAACCAGGAGGTCATTTCTCTGGACCGATGGGTAAAACCTGGCTTTTGGCAGAATTTGCACACACCTTGACCTTGCTTTGCTAGAGCCCATAACCTTGCTTTGGCAGAATTTGTCCTGCCTGAAGGACAAAAGTGAAGACAAACTTGGAGCCGATGAAATTGAGTGCAACGAGCATCGAATGTTGGGCCTTCTGGATGCTGCATGTGCTCTAATTGAACTTCAATTGTCGAAGGAACAGGACCCACATCCTTCCAATGGTGTAGAATCATGGCAGAGCTTCGACACACATTTGCATCCAGTTGATGCACGGCAGATTTCCCAATCTGGGAATCGGATCAACTGCTGCTTCGATGCGATCTTCACCACTGTCCACCGCGGGCAAATGCTGGGGGTATATTCCAGCGAGCTCGCCAGTGGGATGTATGAGCTAGCGTCGAACATGTTTCGCAGCTACAAATTCTGTGACATGATCGTGAACCAACAAAGTCCAGCGCCGTTTGCAGTATCTCGGTGAAAGGACGTGAAAGGTATATAAGATCCATTAAGATCCAGCAAAGAGCAACGAAGAAAACTGTGGTTGAAAACAAACCACCCTTCTTAACCCTTCATTGAAGCAGTTGGATTTCGATGTTGGGTTTGCTTGGAAGCCGCGGATCACCCAGGTACATATGCGAACGATCCTGCTGGTATTTTGCATCAGCTTCCCCTTTACCATCATTGGACAGGTGAACCCTGTGAGCCTAATGTTGATGCAATCAGCCTTAAGCTTCAGCCACTTGGCCGAGCTCTTTTCAGGATGGGGAGCCAGCTTTCAAACACGTGGCTGGTTTGGAGTGACTAAGGCTGTGGTAGATGTAAATGTTTAATAATGCTTGAAAGTTTGATTTTACATTGACAGAATTGCGTAAGCACTACCATCAACTTTGATAAGGTGCTGCTTCCATCAACGTGTAACGTGATTTTTTGCTGCTATTGGGGTAAAAACAACTTCATGATACTTCATGATTTTCGCCTCAGGAAATGTGAAATATGTGAAATTGTGAATGTGTTGGCTAGAGGTTCCTAATATTTTCGTATATTTTCTTACTTGTCAACTGGCTCAGGCTTGATGGGCATTGAATTTGTTTCTCGGCAGATGGAGCATCCCTTCGGCAATGATGAATCTGATATTCCTTTGCGACACTGAGCGGAAGTTAGACACTATTACAGTAGAGACTGAGTTTCCTTCAATGGACCTTGCCGCAATGTACTTTTGTCACCATGTGCCAACAACATCCACTGTTCATCCATGTCCATACTTTCACACCATTCGAATTGGCTCCTCTTGGCCTTTGACTTCACATGGGTTCAGCCCTTTGATGGGTCAAACTTATGCACCCACAACAAATGGACATATAGATTTAATATGACTAAATATAATAGATATATAGAGCATATAGATACATGTAGTTGAATACTTTTTGAGCACTGACATGCCCACAAAATGTCGGTCCAATGGCGCCCCACTTAGTTCACTTGACCAATCCACTGAATTTTTGCATCAGGATTCGCACTACAGCGCATCCGGGCAGACATTCGATTGATCGCTCAAAAGCACCAGCTCCTCGATGGCCTTGACGAGGAAGTCACGAAGTCGTGCCAAAAAAACAAGCGCCTTAGTGATTTGCCTTGAATTATATTGGACATGTGGGTATGTGATGGTATGGGTATGTACGGGTCACTTCATGTCAGTACAATGGACCGACAAAATTGGTCATTTTTTAGCTGAAGTCCATTTTGGTAGCCATATATAATATCTATTGAATCTTCCCTAGAATTAAGAAGAATCAGCCAGCCGAAGAGTAATGTGAGAACTTGGGTGGATCGACCACACGCACACGTACACAAGAAGGAGTTTATCTGCCAGAAATGAGCACTGATGAGCTGCCAACGCTTTTCTGTATGTGTTGTTGTGGGAATCAACCGATAGAAACCTATGCCTGACAGCCAGGCTCAAGGTGAAAACCTGGATGAAATGGCCAACACTTTGCATGGCCACTCAAAATGGATGGTTCAAGAGGAAACGTGGCCACATTTGTAGGTCCATCGGTAGCCCCATTCTCGCTCCAGCTTCAGGATTTTTTGTCTACTACGAGCGAAGGGTTTAAGTCACATCAGTTGGGCAGAAGTCACATCAACCCCATGTAACAGCGAGTTGGAAGAAAGTCACATCAACTGGGCAAAAGTCACATCAAAATATCAAAATCCCAATGGCACACCGGCTTTCAAGGAATGTTGTTATATCTCCAAAAATGAAGAAAACATTGCGCACACTGAGGTATTCACATATGTTTAAACTATGTTTTCAAAGGATATATTTAGGAATCACCATGGCACACGGCCTCCCAGATCTTTAACTTTGTTTCCTAACAAACATAGATTTCCATGTAATAGCTATGGGCAACATCATCATCATCAACAAACATAGATTTCCATGTAATAGCAGGAGGCAGCAGCAGGAGGCAGCAGCAGCAGCAACAGCAGCAGCAGCAGGAGGCAGCAGCAACAGCAGCAGCAACAGCAGCAGCAGCAGGAGGCAGCAGCAAGGAGCAGCAAGCAGCAAGCAAGCAGAAAGCAGCAACCAGCGTTTGCCCCGTTGAAAGAATAATGAAATATAATATAAGTTTTATAAATCAACGCAATACAAAAATTGAACTTTTTCTAGGCGCACGGCCCCAAAACAATGAAATCGTCCAATTACTAAAAGTTGTGGTGATGCCAAACTTGAACTTTTTCCAGGCGCACGGCCTCCCGATACAACTTCTACGAGCTGATACGACTTAACGCTAGGGCTAGTAGGGTCAAATAGAATCATGTCAACAAAACATTGCGCACAGCGATGAAAAAGTGTTCGAATCAATAACCCATCAAAGAAAGAACTATCAAAATCTATACGAAACACTGCGCGCACGCAGGTGTGATACGACTTCAGGTCGATTGATACGACTTAAGCCTAGTGGTAGTATGTATAAAGAGTGCAAATCAGTACATGTACAGGCAAGACAGCAACACCAGCTGGGTCCGACAGAGTTTCTCCTGCCATCCATGGGCCATGCAATGTTGTGGCAGAGTGGCAGTCCTGCATCCTTTGGTTCTGGCCTGAGATTGAGTTATGGTTCGAGATGGTTCGAGCCAGAAGGAATTGAGCGTGATTCTCGATTTCACGATGATATATGGGTTTGCCATGGTTTGCCCAAACCAGGGTATACCCGTACACCCCAAAATCCATCGAGATCCAATCGTTCATCACTGTTGATCATCCGGAGAAAAATGACAATTTTGGGGTACAGGACACTGCCATTTCATTTGAGGTCGCGGTTACACACGGCTGGCAGTTCAAGGCGCGGTGAGCACAATCGATCTGTCTCAACAACAACGGATACGGATGGATACGGGGTTTAGATGGGTTTAGGGTTTGCTTGATGCTTCATAGATCTTCATAGAATCACCTGCAAACTTCATTTTGAACACTCGGCAATAGGAATTCTTCACCTTGTGCCGCTGCAGGAGACACTCCAGAGATCTCCAGAGCGAAGTGGCTGGAAACATGAGGGACAATCTATGTGGAATTCCGGTGGCTTGTCGCATGTAACGCATGTAAGTCAAGTGCATCAGAATTGTCGGACCTGCTTTTTTGTGTTTTAATCATTTTAATCTTTGATTTCTGTTGGAATTCTGGACATATTTACCCTGCGGCAAAGCTTCCAACATTTGCTAAACAGTCTATTTATTATATACTGGAATGTACTTCGGAACTTCTGAGGAAGGGTGGTGCTTCTGCTGGGCAGTTTCATTTGGCGGAGGCCATTTGGAGCATTTTGTAGCTGAAATATGCGTTTTGTTGATCTGGCAATTTGTACAATACTCACTCTACCATTCACAATCAGTCGACATTCACGATTTGGCTCAAGCCACTTTTTGCCTGTTTTTCGATGTTTTTCGTCTATTGTCAACTTGCGTCGTGGCTATTGGTCAATTCGATCAGTGTGGCTCCTTGGCATCCATTGTCAAGTAATGACTGCTGCTTCCATGGTCTTCATAGGTTCATCATCTTTGTCCAAGTAAATTACCTCCAGCAAGGCTTTCTTCGGAAGAAGTTTGAAGGAGTGGGCATCGATTCGGGACTGGGCCATAAGCTTTGCCTTCCGTTCACACGGAGGACCCGACAGCCTGAAAAAGTTGAAGGCACTTGGGTCATGTGGTATCTCCAGTACAACGAAAGAGCGCGCCCAGATTCAGTCTGAGAAATTGAACATTGCGGACGAGAAGTTTTAAGCCGCTCAATGACATTCAAGTAGGACACGATGATGACAGTGCCATCCACATCGAGGCTTCCCGACAAGACATGGAGATGCTCCACTCTGGAAGACGAACTCCACACTACCTTTGTCATGACCTTTTTAATTGAGCAGTGGCAAGCCTCCTTCCCAGCAGAGTTGGGATCTGACGCAAGAATTGCTTGACAGCTTGTGGTCAGCCATCGGGTTTCCAGTCCAACTTCTCTTCTCTGGGCGGATCTTATGTCTTCAAATCCCTAGCGTTCAAGCTCACAAAGTCTCCATAGAACGCTTTTGCCAAGCACTGTGGGAACAGGTGGGAGAGGAACTTGAAGAAGAACTATCCAGAGATGCCCAGGCTGGCTGCCAGACAATATGATCCCTTGTTCCATCTTGCACCGAGGCAGGATCATACTGTCTGCAGGCCAGCTTGAGGGTCTCTGGATGGTCTAAGTAGCTGTGGAGTGCAATGTGAAAGGGGTGCCAAGGGGGTTCGATTCAAAATGAGGCTTTCATATTGCCCAATTTGAACCTTGGCATTACTTTCCATAGTGAATTCATGCCTTGCAAGCGGCCCCGATTTGGAATGCGCTGCGCATTCCCGGAACAGTGCTTTAAGCCAAGGCCTTTTTTCAGCAGCGGAGTTTGCTCGGCAAACATGATCCCTGCCCGATCCACATACTGTGAAATTGCTGAACGTGCGAAGATACTGTCATTTTACATTGTTGCTATTTGTTGCTTCCATTTGATTTGCGGTACTTGATCTACTTGCCTTTCACTATGGCCTGTACAGCTGATGGTCGTGAATCTCCAGATTGAAATTGGTTTCATCATGTTTCATCTGTCCAGTTTGTCCATTTGCATTTTCACCCCCTGTATGGAAACCTTGTGCCCTGCAGGTGTCACACTTCCCGCCGGACGTCATGTAGATCAGCGCCTCCTGTGGCCTTTGTAGGCTATCATGCCATCGGTGAATTCTTAGAGAATTGGCAGTGAATGTGAAAGCACTACATGATGTGATAAGGAACTATGACTATAACTATGGTGCGATGTGGTGCTGGTTGTAATTATTGATCGGGGGAATATCTCAAGCAACATCAAGCAACACTTGTTGCGGCTAGTCCTCCAAACAGACAGTTATTTCCTAATCTCATTGCTGCGAGGCGGCGTTCCACCTGAAATGGAGTCAGAAGAGGTGCAAAAGCACTTGCAACAGCAACTTGGCTCAGCTTGGGCTTGGTAGTCTGCGCGTCAGAAAAACGGCAAACTACCTGATTCTCATCAATGTTGTGCTGTTCTTTTCCTGAAAGTAAATTTGCCACTGTATGTGTACTTCTTCGGTTTCTATCAACCTTGGCACTGGAAATAGCCGCGACTTTGAATCTGAGATGAGTGACTTTTTGCTGTAGACTGCATCCAGCCCCAAAATCGAGCAGAGATTTGCCCTTAAACCGCTGCCAAATCTACGTCTGTAAGAGGTTTCCACGTTGTGCGGCTTTGCAAAGCTTGGCCCCAGTTTATTTTCAAATCTCCATCTTCAATCGGTTCTACCGTTCTACCCCTGAAAGGCACATGGCATAACAACTAAACAACCAACGTTGAAAGGTGCAGCCCCACGACCAGCAGACAACCCAGCAGAACCCTTCCAGGGCGAGTGTGGCTCCAGGTATGGCTCTTGCAGAGTCGTAAAACGCTGCAGAGGCTATCTCTATGTGCGATTTCAGGAAGCCCAGGTGGGGCTCCTGAGATCCCATTGGATCCCATTGGATCCCATGGTGCAGACATGTCAAGTTGCAGATGTTGAGGCCGTTTGGCATTGCCAAAATTGCCAAAGTGACTTCAAGACACGAAAGTTCTCAGCAATCAAGGCAATGGCAGCGCCCAGCTAGAACATTCAGAATCATTCAGGAATATCTATGAATATAATAATATTATACGTATGTACATAATATATATATACACATAATTATATAGATTCATATATACCTAGATCTTGCAAAAAGATCTGTATTCCAATAAATCCATAGAAATCCAACCCAACATCCCAGGACTTAGTGGCGGCGGTAGGTGCAAAGCACCTGGTGGGTGGCCGCGATCTCACGGTGGAAGTGGCCAAGGCAAAGAAAAAGCGCCTTGCTCTGGATATGGATTCCATCTGCAGTTTCTGCTGTTTTGTATCTATTATATTCTATTATTATTTTACAATATATTGGTATATATATATTATATATTATATGCAGACATTATGTGTATATACATATATACACATCATATACATATTATATCTATATATAAGAAGCACAGACATTGTATTGTATATTACTTGTGAATTCAGTGCTTCTTTGGAAAGCAACCAGTCACAACTGGGATGCACATCCAAGTATTGAAAAATGGCCATGGCCATGGAGCCCAAGAAAAATGGGATCCAACCAGCATCACAAGCTGCAATGGAGATTGATGGATGTTGGACTCAATGCGTCTTGCAGATCATTGCCAAACCTTCTTGGACTTGATGCAACTTGCGGACATCCAAAGAACAATGAAGTTCATAAATGTATGCACAGAAGAGCTATGACCTGGTACAGTACCCTTGGTCCTGTTTCTATCCTCCATAGATATCAATGTTTTATTGTATTTCATGGCTTGGATACCTTGTCCGTCATTAAACAATCACAAAAACTAGCAGTAGTTGGCTGGATATTCTTATTGCTTTAGCAAGGATTGAAGTGGACCAATTGCCAAACGGTTGCTTTGGACCATGAACCCCTCCCCTCCTCCTATAGCTCGCTATGTAACCTTGATACCCAGCTTATTCATTTCATCCAACCCACTCCACCCAGCTCTTTCCACCTAACCCACGCCATCCCCACTCTACCCAAGTCACTCCACTTGACTTGATTCACTCCACCCCTTCCATGTTCCCCTTCGCATGTCGCCTCATTCCCATTAGTTTCCCTCAGCTTCCCATCTTTCCTCCCACCTTCCCCGGCTCAGTTTTATTCACCAAGCCTTGGGACTCAAGTTGTTATGCAATGAGGCAATGGTACTGTGAGATCGATCCGGACTATCCACCACGAATACGGCGATTGATGGATGGTGTGGTCCACATTCAGAATATGTTTCCAACTTACCAAACTAAGATTTTTATTTGGGTGCTTTGGGTGCTACCGTGCTGTATTCAGTGAATCGGTTTAAGGAAACACCTGCAGCAAACCATGGATTTCCCCATGAAATATGGGGTTTCTAAATTTTTCCCTGAAACCAATCCATACCAATCCATTATTGATGAGGTACGCATTTTTTGAGTGTGCCCCTGCTGCACGACAAAATAACAGAGTGGAGCTGCCTTGACTTCGCAATCCCAGACCTGACTGCTGAAGAATGTGTCTTTTTCATTCCCCCCTAAGGTTGTCGATGGCCATGCAGATCAACATAGCAAAGCAAGTAATATCCTTGAGCAGTGCACGTGCTGGTTTCTACACTCCACGATTTGAAGATCGAGCAATGAGGCTCCGGATGTTTTGCCTCGGACGTCATTGGGCTGCTAGGATCAACTTGTAAGGCTTGAGTCGTGACTTTGGATGATCTGAACTTCTGAGTTTAGCCCTTGCTAACATTGATTCATGATTCAGCCATATTCAACCTTCCCGTTCTCTCCAGATGCATGCTGAGAGTTGACGAAATCTCCATGTTTTGTTGTGCAAGTATTGCCTTTCAGCTTTAGTTACAAATACTGCATTGGAGTCTCACCTTCTGTACTTCTTCCATCTTCTTCCACCCCAAGCTGAATGCTCAGGACACACAAACTCATTCCTACAGCGATGTTCGATCAGATTGTGATGGCCGGCCAGTTTTGGCGATGCCATCGAATCTCAAAGAACTCGTCGAGGGCATCTTGTCAGATCTGAAGCAGAAATGTCAACCGATGGCGCACAAGGCGCACTTTCCACCGATGGAACCGGATACCTGCATAGTCAACTGGTATTCGACCTCGGGGTCGCTAGGGGTTCATCAAGACTTGGATGAAAGTGACTCTCAGATTATTTTGAACGTTTTTTTTTCGTAACTTGATGAATAGACTACATAATAGACTTAGTTCGTTTCGTTGTGGGTGATGGTTTGTGCGTACCAAGGAGCAGAGCATTGCCGCCGGAATTCCAGTGATCTCAATATCCTTGGGATCTTCGGCGCGCTTTCTTTACCATCCGGACCATCCGGACATCCCAAAGGATTCCGATGGCTGTGATGGCTGTGATGCCATTTCACCTCGTAGCGCCTTGCTGCGCTCGGGTGATATCTTCATCTTTGGCCAAGAGGCGCGACGTTTGAGGCATGGCATCGCCAAAGTTTTCCCCAGGACCTGCCCGAAGAAGTTGGTGGAGGTCATAGAGACAGATGGAGAGGGTGAAGCCGGACGTTTAAATCTGACCTTTCGGCAGACTCGGTAAGATATTGGCTGGATGAAGGACTGGGGATAGTAGGGAAAGCACCTGCAAGGCCTGCAAGGCCTGCAAGGTTGAAGGTGGCGACTTTTTAATCACCGAAAGCAGTCAACGGGCAGTGCACGGCCGGAGTGCTGGTTTTTGAGGGCATGAAAGAGTGAGACCGACAGTTCCCTCCAGGTAGCAAAGCTTCTTTCCCGCGCATTAAAAGGAAGCTGCTCAGACAGGAAATTGCTGAACTTAGGCTGCACAATTTTTTTCATTCCCAACCTATATGATACTTGAGCATACTTGAGCGATGAAAGGCTCACAACGACAGTACTGCCGCACATTGACAAGAGCCACCATCGGACAATTGCTATTGCAGCATTTGCCATTTCTCGATGTTGCCTGCTCTTAACTTGACAGAAAGCACCCTTTGCGAGAGAAGATCCAGCTTCAGCATGCGGAGAAAGTTGCATGACAATAGCAGCTGGAGCTGAGAATATGAGGTGATGTGATTGTGGTGAAGTGCCACGCACAGTTGCCTGCAGACCGGAACTCAACAGTCAAACACGGTGCCGGTCCACTGTTTGCAATACTTTCGAGATACATACTGTATGGCCTTCAGCGTTTGCTCAGCGGTGGTATGGAAGATCCGAAACTGCATCTGAGTCTGGACGCGCGTGAGATGGGCACAACACTGGGTGCCTGGCAGCTTGCCCACAAGAAAATGGTGCTGGAGACTCACTGGAGACTCAGGCAGCCAGGCTCAGGCATTGAGAGTGCTTTTTGGGTTTGCCAATCCAAGTGATGAAAAGACAAACCAGCTTATTGTTTGACATTGTTCGACCGGCAAGCATTTGGGTTCAAAGTGAGTCCCTGAATTTGCCATTTAAAAGAGAGAGTCTTTGTGACGGCAAAACAGATTCACATTGCAACACATATGGATACAAATGGTGCAATGACATGTGCTTTGAGAAGATTGGCGGGGGACAGAACACACATGTTGCGATGAATCACGACAAACCTCGAAATTGTACACCTCCCTGTCCGTACTTTTTCTGAGCTGCCAGCTAGACAGCAGCTTCAAAACCGCAGATCGAATTCCACCAACATACGCATACCAAGGTTATCCAAGGCCCATTTTCAGAAGGGGTGCGTGATTTCTATGCTGAAGATGTTGTATCATGTGCAAGTGATGCGTACCATGGACACCTGACTGTGGTGAAACGGGATGGCGGCCTGTCTCTTAGTTGATGTCTTGTGATTGTTGCAGTTGTTGGATGCCCATGGACGCTACATTTGGACTTCATGACTCTTGCGAATCCTAGCTCATTTGTTTGTATACTGTATGCTGTCGCAGCAGTGTAGATCTGTAGCAACCATGCAGCGTGTCAACGCATCTTTGGAATTTTGCATGATGGCGTTGCTCAAGAGTCAAACCAAAATGCTGAAGTTTTGGTTTTGGCTGACTTTTCTAAGGCGGGTGATGAGGAGGAAACTGCTGATGCAGTGAGATCCAGGGGTCATCCTCCTGAACCCTTATTGTTCGTAGGATTTCGTGGGCATCAGACTATATTTCAGACTTATCCCCACAAAACTCGTGCAGCTTGCAGAGCGTACAGGGTTCGCAGATACTGCAATCCGACCTATTGCAATGTAGCAATCTTTTGCAGGAGCTGCCAAGGGTGCTACATAGCAGCGATTCCATGGTCCCCGAGAAGATTTTGGCGGTTGGAGACTGAGATCACTTTTGAATCAAGACAGCCTGGGATGAGCTTTGTTCACCCCAGATTAACCACCTGACCTTTTGATTTCTGGATATTTCTATAATATTCTACTTCTACAATGCTAAGATAATATTGTTTTATATATACATATGTTGATGGCACACTTTTCAAACAGGGTTTGATGGCGGGTCATCATTTCTAACTTTGCTTCTGAAAAACAACCAGCAGCATCAGCAGCAGCTACTGCTCCCCAGCTTCACTTATCCCTGAGCCTGCCTCCTCCTGGTCTCGCCTGCCAGCAAGGCCCATGGATTCCGAACCCTTCGCTTTCTGGGCCGTGGTCAGTATGGCACTGCGCCTGCATCTCAGTGCACTCAACAGGGAAGCCCATCACATTCGCCACGAATGCGGTTTGTGGCAGCCTTCGGAGGGCAACATGCAACACTCTGATGTCAATATGATCCCGTGCGCCCTCAGGCATTTGGCGGAGTCGTCTGATACTCCTGGGCGCGAACAGGTGCCGGGAAAATGGTTGGGAGCCGTTGGAAGCACAGGAATGTTTCAGATAGCTAGTTGTTTACTGTTTAAAGATGTTTAGAGGACTCCTTAAAAGGTAGTGTCTAGCAAATTAAGTCAACACGAGCTGGAATGTGAGGCAGGTGGCAGGTTCATGCAGTGAGCACGCTGCTGATGGAGAGTGTTGTGAGTTGAACAAGAGATGGACTAACTTCCCATGATTCCTATGGTTCGGTTGTGTGCTTTCCTTGTGTCATGCCGCAATACAAGACTGGGGATAGGCCGTGTTGAGCTTGCAATGGCTAGAACCGCTGTGTTCAAAAGATAGCTCTCCGAGGGTAGTGGTCAAGACCACTTTGGAGACGAACATCTGAAACCAGTTTGAAACTATCTAAACATGATTAAACATGCCTAATTACTAATAACGCTAATTAGGACCACAATCCACCAGGAATTGGCAATAATGCAGTGATTGCTTCCACATGATTCCACCATTTTGAAAATGCACTATCTTCTTTGACCTCTTTTCAATGGGATGATCGTTTTGCCAGGTCGTGGCCAAAGTGGTTTTCCTTGACCATCTCAAGGACCCGTGCACCAACACTTCTTGAGCTCGACATAGCTCGACTCAAGACATTTGTTTTGACCATTTCATGTTATTTCTCCATTTCTCCATATTTCTCCAGGTCCTGGAACGTCTTTGGATCGTTTAGGTCTATAATCTGTGATAATCCAAGCTTCTACCAGATCTACCAGGTTTCGCACGCCCCCCTTTCGGGACCCATCCTGCTAATTTGGGTCAGGTAGAACTGCCGCAGTGAAGGACAAAGATCGAGCTTTGGCCCTCCAGGAAGTTGAAGTTCTGAAGCGGACTAGCACTCAGAGCTTCTGGATCCATGTCGCCACTGAATGAACAGAAAGCATAAACTTGTCGATCCTCAAGGCTGAAGCATCCCAACGTTGCTTGGGGCCTCAACGGGCAGGGCGGTGCCCTAAAATGTTTTTTTTTTTTTTTTTAAATGTTTTTTTGGGTTGTTTTGTTGGTCTCAGTTGGCACTAGCCTGCACGTGCCACGAGACCCAGAAAGACCACCTGGGGTATGTTTCCGACAACTAATCTAACTGGACACAGCGGGGTTGAGCGCTTCGTCTCCATATGTCTAAACTCAACCTTACTCAGCTTGCGAACTGTATATAAATATATATATATATATATATCAAGACATATAGTATGATATTTGTGACGATATGTCATTCACTAGCGGAGTTCTTGCACGGTTTTAGGTGTGGGAAAGGACAAGAACCACGTTCTAGTATGTTCTAGTCACAAACGTGATAAGGTCACCCACGTCGCATCCTTCCTTCACTCAGGCAAAGGAATGGGTCAAGGGAAACCTGAACATCTTTGAACATTATACCTTGAATCGAACTTCTATAATGATCAGGGCTGTAGTGAGTGACAGACTTTTAAAGTGTCGTCATGGATTGTTCCCTTCGTTCCCTTCGTCCCCTTCACGAAAGACCCGAAGTCGAAACAGCCCGCTGCCAGCTGGCCACGGCCAAGCCTTGGTCAACATCATGGAGTACTGTGCAGGTGCTGCTGAGTGATCCATGGAAAGTTCAAACCCTTGAAGCTAAGAATCATAGAAAAATTATGAAGGTTTGTGAAGATTTATATTCAAGGAGGGTCCTGCTAGTTAGCATCAGACGAGGAAATGATTCTGACACTTTGGAAACATTGGAACATTATTTTTTAACTTTGAAACGTTTCGAAACGTTTTCTCTTGCACGCCGTGAGGTGGAGACCTTCGGATATGGTTGGACAGTTTAGCCCAGGCTTCTGAGCCGGGCATCTCAGAAAGCATCGCTGTTCGGTTCGATTGAAAACCATAGCTTCGGGAGTGTTTTTTTTTTTATTACCGTGAGTACACTGAGTACAGATGAATACATCTGGATAAGAACGTATAATCCCCCATATTTCCCCCAAACTGAGATCGTTCCCAGTTCTTTGCAGCTTGGCGATACCAAAGGGCAGCTGCTTTGTCAGGGACAATGTAATGAACACAATATGAACACGAAGATGGTCAATGGTTGCTCGCAACTTAGGATAGATTAGTTTCATTTCCCCCAGCGGACGCAATTCTTCGCTGTAATTTATTATGGGCCGCATATATGGCGTCTCCTTGTTTTCTTTAGGCCATTACAAGAGGATTCGGTCTTGCACCTCTTCTCGCAGATGCTGAAGGGCATGGAGTATGCTGGGGGATCCAGGGGTGGGATGACAATGCACACCGCTTGGCGCGATGACAATCATAGAAGCTGACCGGACAATCTGGGAGGAGAATGCATGAGAACATGACAGCAAGTAAAGAAAGAGATTGAAATCAAGAAACCACAGCAACTTCCCTTCCACTTGTAAGATCTTGTAACTGTACCTGAGGTGCAGGCATCAAGCCCTTGGAACCCCCAATATCGGAGATAAGACTGCAGATTTTTCCAGTTGAGAGATACACTATACTCCCAGGTGATACTCAGTATACTACAGGTATCTTGTGTGGTGCGGTTGTGTTGGTATAGAGATGTATAGAGTTTCTCATCATGGCTGGCTGGGCAAAGGTTCACTCCTGCCACATTCTACACCGAGATCTGAAAACGTCAAACATGCAACTTGGCTGCAAGGAGATCTCAGCTAGCTGAGATGCAAAAGCTTGCAGATCAAGAGTTGCAAGAGACAATATCCCCTTGGAAACCAAAGATTGAGTTGAAAGAGTTCGTAAATTTTGTACATTCAAATGTACTTGTAGCTCCTTCTTATTCTTCGTCTCTGTCTCGGGCAATTTTCACAATCCTTCATGTTTCACGACCAGAACTCGTCACCCACATCCAGGCTTCTAGATGTGGAGCATCGGACAGTCAAGGCAGGGCACAAGGATGTTCAGTACACCTGCAGCTTGGCCATGTTGATGCATCAGCACCCAAGTCTGGAAGTAAAGCACAAGCAGAACAAAATTCAGTTTATTAGTCCATAGTTAGTCACTTTATTAGTCATTATTAGTCCTCCATTGTGCAGCTTGTTGCAACTTGTTCGGATCCTCCATTGTGAGATCAAGGGATCCCAACGGTCCCATAGCATCAGGTGGGTGATTTCGGGATCGCACGTGTGCTGGAGAGCACCACTGCAGTGGCAGTGACCATGTTGGGAACTCCCTACTACATGTCACCAGAGGCGAGCTGGGACCATGTTGGGCTGGGGTGGCTATTGTTCAATGGATTGGTTTAAGGGAGAATTTACAGGAAACCCCCATGATCTTCATGGGACAATCCATGGTTTCCTGATGTTTCCTGTAGATTTTCCCTTAAACCAATTCATTGAATTGTGATTCAAAATAGAACAAGGAAGCCCGAGGCATTTCAAAGTCCACTCGACTGCCCATTGCAGAAAATGATAGCCATCGATTCCATCGATTTGGAGAGTAAATATAAGTCTGAGATTGGGCACACGATTGGATTCTGTACTGCAAGAAACTACCAACTGACATCTGTTTCCCTAGGGCCCTAGGTGTTTCCTTTTTCCTTCGCCAATTTGCACCCAAGACTGCAGAGCTGCCACAAGTCTCAGCTTGTTCCGCGCCATGGATGTCCTTGTGGTGGGTGGTGGTGGCCGAGAACATGCCATCGCGGTGAAGCTCAGGGAATCTCCCAAGGTCCGACATGTCTTCTGCGCGCCTGGCAATGGAGGCACTGCTCTGGAGGACGGGAAAACGTGCTTCGACCCTTAAGTTTCAATAAGTTTCAATAGGTTTCAATATCATATACTGTATGTTATGTTTTAAATTGTTTTAATGTGTTTTGATATGCTTCGAGCACGATCGTGATGTCACAGAAGTAAAATTTTGTTCGGAAGACAGATCCAAAGTGAGATGTCCTTAGATTAATACGGGTGTGGGTCAAAATTCTCAACCCCCAAATGAAGGGTTTAATACTCAACCTGACCAATTTTTGCAAGTGGATTGGCACTCCAATTTCGACCCCAAACCCGGTTGAACGTTCAGCTTGGGAGCTGCAGGAGCGAATGACCAATCTGCCCATTGGCGACAGCGACGTTGCTGCGCTTACGGCTGCAGCAGAGGAGCCCCCGTGAGTCTTTTATGGGTGCGATGTGTTTGATATTGGGGGTATACCGCCAAAATTGCCGTTTAGCGAAGACCATGATGATTAACCAGTGGATCTGGGCCAGAATTTATTTTGGATAAAGCCATATGTTGGGGCTACCTGGGTGATCAAAATGATCATGGTGAAGTGTGCAAGATTGTAGCTGGCTAGTGCCATCCCAGCATTGGATGACGGGAAAAGTTACAGGAGCTCCAAAAAATTGGGGGTGACATGAAAAACCACATGGTTTCCTGTGGATTTCTGTAATATTCCCATCATTGCTTTTTGGAGGAGAAGAAGGTTGCCTTAGTTTTCGTTGGCCCCGAAGCACCTCTTTGTGCTGGCTTGGCAGATGCCTTGAATGCCAAAGGCGGAATGGTGGTGATGGACATCCAGTGGGGAAAAATGGAAAAATGGTTGTAGACACTGGAATGGATGTCCACTATGGTTTGGATTCCAGCTTTCCACTTTTGGTGGTTTGCAGTTGGTTCATCCTCTCTATTAAAATATGTTGAAAGATGTTGAAATCGGACTTTGATTGGGCAAACCCATCTGGAAACTTTTCAGTGATGGCTCTGCAAGCAATTGGACATTCCATTTTCAGCTCCCAGGTGTGCCGTGCTTTGGACCGAGCAAGCTAGCAGCCGAACTGGAGGCGCCATGGAGCATGGAGCCATGATGAGCCATGGGACGGATGATGTTGTCATATGCTGCGCCCCTCCATTGACAGCTCTCCTTTGCTGTCCACCTAGTTGCCACCAGTTTCAGTTTAGTTTCAGTTTGTGCAAGGCCTCCAAAGCCTTTAGCAAGGACTTCTTTGCCAAATACAAGCTTCCAACCGCCAGCTACAGGCAGAGTCACCGCAGCAGCTTTGTCAGTGGGTAACACCAGGCTAGTTCTTTCTGAGATTAGTTGCGAGTTAGGACAAATATAATATGCAATTGGTGGGCCGTAGCATGCCTTCATTTATCTTCAAAGCTCTTGCTGTTGGCTCCAGACGAGGACTTTCAAGACGGGCGAGCATGAAGCCGCACTGAAATATGTCGAGGACAACTCCCCTGTTGCTGCGGTGCTGTGACAGTGTTCGACCACCGAACTGCTCTTGGCAAAACGTCTTCCAGCAAGAGCCATCAATCAACAGATCTTCAAGAACCAACTTGAACAAACCAACCATGATAACATCATACAACCATGATCATCGATTGCGGATGAATTATCTCCGAGAATTCCCAGTGTTTTCTCCATTTTTGGATCGCCGGGTCGTAGGAGGAATACCTGGCGGGTCGTGAGTTGGTGGTGAAGGCCAGTGGCCTGGCGGCGGGCAAAGGTGTGCTGATGCCGCAGTCCATGGCGGAAGCGAAGGAGGCGGTGCAGGAAGTTATGGCAACCTGAATGGAAAGCAAGGATGTTGGTGGATATATATATAATATAAGGTATAGTTTAAGTAGTAACTATATTGTCAATGATGATATATGTGACACAAATGGACAACTAATTGACAGGGAATGAGGATTCACCCCAATTACTAGGGGATGATGGGGATAGGGATGGGTGATTATTAGTAATAACCCCCTGGGCTGTTGATTCATTGGATACCACTTAATTTAAGTTTGGGGAATTTCTCCCAATGATTGTAGAATTCACTCCAAGGATGATCGGGGCTAACATCTTTCTGGGAATGGGGATATCAAGCGGGGAGGAGGATGGGGGAGGAATGGAACATGTGAAGGATGTCTGAAGGATATGGGACGCTGGGGTAAAGTTGGGGAGACTTCTGATGAATATGATGAGACATGAAGTACTTAAATAGTTACGTGATGCTACAGTACATTGTAGCTACATCACAGATGGCAACATCGTCCATGGATAGAACGCATTGTCTTCATACTTACGTTCATGATCTATCATGTGTTATCCACTATCAACGCATTCCATGAATTCCATGCATTCCATGCATTCCATGCATTTCATGCATTCCATTTGGTCCGTGTTTGGTCTGTGGATGTGCTGTGGGGTTGGAGACCTTCCCCACTGTCTGGACCGGCACCCAGGTGAAGAAGGTCTTTGGGGCGGCTGGCGATGAGTTGGTAGTAGAACAACTGCTGATCGGAGAAGAGTTTCTCGTAAAGGAGATGGTGCTGAGCAAATATCACGAACATTTTATGAAGATGTCAGGAATATATTCCTAGAACTTTCTTTCTATTTCGTTTTACTTTGGGTTGCAATTGTGCAATGTGACGATGAAATCATCGGCAACATATTTACTCATATTTGCAATCCTCTATGTACGTGTTTGACCCAGGTGTAGCTGCATGGCTTTTTCAGATGGCCAAACTGCTGCGATGATGGTTGCAGCGCAGGCTTCTCAGGGGCCAACTGCAGACCTGTCTACCCGTTGGTACACCATGAAACACGGCATAAGATACCACACAACCAATATGGTTGCGCTGTCTTTGGTCTTGATTCTTGTGGGAGAAACCAATGGTTGGAGTATGCAACCAATTTTCCAGTCCGAGCCTGTTTTACTGCATGTGTTTTTTTGTAAGTTGACACCTTGATTTGCTTGTAAGATTGAATACACATCAGCTGGTGACCGTCAGTTACAGCTTCGAAGATCGAGTGTTTTCAGGACCACAAGCGAGTCGATGACAACGATCAGGGGCCAAACACTGGTGGCATGGGCGCCTATGCCCCCGCCCCATGTCTCACAGATGACTTGAAGCCTCAAGTCACGGAGGCGGGGGTAGGCTAGCGGCTACCCCTCCAGCGGTTCATGGTTTGTCACAGTTTGTCACCAGTTTGTCCCCATTGAATCCCGATATCTGTCAACTCCAGGTGCTGCAGCGAACTGTGGAGGCCCTGGCTGCTGAAGGGCGAAAGTACATTGGAGTGTTGTACGGTGGCTTCATGCTCACCAAGGCACAACTTGAGAGTTGCCACTTCTTGGCAGTTCTTGGCGAGTCATGACGGGGGCCATCCTTGTCCTTGATAGTTTAGAGATGTTTAGAGTGTGTGCTAAAGAGATTGCTCTTGTAATTCGTGGAATCAGTACTGCTGGAAAGATCTGAAAGATCTGAAGATGCTTGTTCCGGCTTTCTGATTTTTGGTTTTGTCATGTTTTGTTTAAAAAGTAATTTGGAGCTCCTGACCGTGCAAAGGATGGGCCAATGCTTCTGGAGTACAACTGCCGTTTTGGTGACCCTGAGACTCAGGCGCACAGTTTCTTTGGTAATTACTGCGACCCGCTGCAACCAGAACGAAACTTGGACACATTCAGGACCCAGATTGTGCAACAATGAGCTGCTAGCATGAGCTGCTGGCTTACGGCCTAATCATCGTATAATCGTAGTATAATCATAGTATCAATAATTGTAATAGTCCTGTAATAGTCATAATTAGTGCACTTGCCACTCAGTGCCACTCAGTGCCACTGATGCCATGCGATGCCATTGCTACTTCCAGCCTCACCAGGTCTTGTTGCCGTTGCTCGATTCGGACCTGTTCGATGTGGCTTTGGGCTGCGCTGAGGGCAATCTGAAAGCTCGTGTGCCTGAGGTCAGCTATGGCTATGGCGATGAACTCACCGAACTCACCAGACTCACCAGGGCCATGGAAACATCTGATATGTTGGCAGCAATAGGCAATAGAAAAAACATGAAAAAACATCTCCAACATATCCCATGAGATGGAAACACACATCAGCAATGACCCATGGATCCCATGGTAAAGTGCAACAATCGGCTTTGAGGTGAGATGGAAACCTGGAGCCGCGGCCACTGTGGTTTGCGCTGCCAAGGGCTATCCTGGATCATACCCCAAAGGTTTCTTGGCATTACAAGAGTCTTCAAAAAGACCAAAACGACAAAGATAAAACATTTCAAAAACATGATGATAACATTTAATCATTTAATAACAATGATGATCACCATCACTATCACCATCACCATTTATCGTCATCATCAGCTCATATTTGGACAACAGTCGGAGCGCTGAGGTTTGCCCATCAGTGGCGTGGCCGAAGCCGATACTGTGGAAGGCGTCAAGGTTTACCATGCAGGAACCAAGCAGAATGAGTCTTCCTTGGTGACTAGTGGAGGCTGGGCCCACGGGGGAGTGTAATGTGCGGGAGGTGGCCATGTCAGTGCAATGATTCTGGTGGAGCAAATGTGACAAGCCTGTGGTGAACTTGAAGGTTTCAACATCAGATACATGAAAGCAAACTACATTAGCTAGCTGGGCTTGCCATGCAGTCAACATCTATGAGTCATTCTTCCCATTCGAGCGTCCGAGAGACAAATCAGCCATGTTGCTAAGACTCAAGATCTGTGAGAACTACCCAGACGCTCTTGCTGTCTGCGTTTGATACCTTTTGCGTAGCAATAGCCGTTTCAAAAATGTGAAAGTGATGAAGTACCACAGTTTTCTGAACATCTTCATTGTGACTCAGCCAGATTTTGCCTGTATCCCACTGCTGTGCACAGGTCGAGTTTTGGCTGTGACCGGCCAAGCAAATGACTTCAAAGAAGCTTTGAGAAGAGCATATGAGGCAGTTTCAAAGATCAGCTTTGATCCTCCTGGCAGCAGCAGCTGCTTGGCAGTCCAACAGGTAGAGGCTTTGCTTTCTCCACTCTCTCTCTCTCTCTCCCCTCTTGCAGGCAGCCATTTGTGTATTTCATGTCTGTTCTGAGACAGTCCATGTTATTCCATCCAGTTTTCTTGTCTCGTGCCTTTATCAGTTTATCAGATTTTCACTTCAAAATGCCATGGAAATTCCACAGCTCACCTGCATTTTAGGTTCCAACATGCATTTCCGTCGGGATATTGGCCACAAGGTCGACTGGACGGGTGAAGATGTAGGGCAGCCCCTTTTTTCGGGTGATCCATGGATGCCATTCTGTCGATGTCCATGGGTTTACGCTGTTTCAATACCACCTGATTCAGATATATTCAGATAAGAATGCAGGGTTTGAGATCCAGGGTGTTTTGCCAAGGTTTGTGTTTGATCGACAATCTACTTTGTTGATACACTGAAGATAAAATATGAAGAAATCTTGATTTACCGCTTGATTTCCCGGGCTATGGCCTGATTTCCTGTTTCGATGCAAAAATAAACACCTTTTTTAATATAATAATTTTGGTTTAGTAGATAGGCGTGTTTTTAGGAACAAATGAATTCCCACCTTGCCTTTGACAGCTCGTCCAGCCGAAGTTTCAAAGCACGGGCAAAAGGGGCCCAGAAATGCGACCAGAAGCCGAGAAGCCGAGAAGCCCGACACAAGCCGAGAAGCCGAGAAGCCGAGAAGCCGCGAAGTACGACACAAGCCGAGAAGCCGAGAAGCCGAGAAGCCCGGCACAAGCCGAGAAGCCAAGAAAGAAGCCGAGAAGCCGAGAAGCCACCGGACAAGCCGAGAAGCCGAGAAGCCGCGAAGCCGAGGAGCCGCCGGGCAAGCCGAGAAGCCGAGAAGCCGCGAAGCCGAGAAGCCGCCGGGCAAGCCGAGAAGCCGAGAAGCCGAGAAGCCACCGGACAAGCCGAGAAGCCGAGAAGCCGAGAAGCCACCGGACAAGCTGAGACAGTAGCCCTGGAACCCCCTCTGAACACTATGTTGCATCTTCACCATCACAAGACATCAACTCCCCAACCCCCTCTGAACAATACGTTGCACCTTGAGACATCAGCCCCGCCACCCCCTTTGAATATATGTTGCATCTTCGAAGATCAAGCCAGCGACCCCCTCTGAACACTACCTCGCCCCGTTAAACTTCTACATTCCGATCTTCAATGAGGGTTTAATTTAGCCCCTTCAAACTTCTACATTCATTGAAGATCTTCAATGAGGGGGTTAAACTTCTACATTCATTGACGATCTTCAATGAGGGTTTAATTCTCCCAGCCCCGTTAAACTTCTACATTCATTGAAGATCTTCAATGAGGGTTTAATTCTCCCAGCCCCTTCAAACTTCTACATTCATCGAAGATCTTCAATGAGGGTTTAATTCTCCCAGCCCCGTTAAACTTCTACATTCATTGACGATCTTCAATGAGGGTTTAATTCTCCCAGCCTCGTTAAACTTCTACATTCATTGAGATCTTCAATGAGGGTTTAATTCTCCCAGCCCCGTTAAACTTCTACATTCATTGAAGATCTTCAATGAGGGTTTAATTCTCCCGTTAGCCCCAATGAGGTTTAATTCTCCCAGCCCCGTTAAACTTCTACATTCATTGAAGATCTTCAATGAGGGTTTAATTCTCCCAGCCCCGTTAAACTTCTACATTCATCGAAGATCTTCAATGAGGGTTTAATTCTCCCCAGCCCCGTTAAACTTCTACATTCATTGACGATCTTCAATGAGGGTTTATTTCTACCAGCCCCGTTAAACTTCTGCATTCATCGAAGATCTTCAATGAGGGTTTAAATCTCCCAGCCCCGTTAAACTTCTACATTCATTGACGATCTTCAATGAGAGTTCAATTCTCCCCACCCCCGTTAAACTTCTACATTCATGGACGATCTTCAATGAGGTTTTAATTCTCCCCAGCCCCGTTAGACTTCTACATTCATTGACGATCTTCAATGAGGGTTTAATTCTCCCCACCCCCGTTAAACTTCTGCATTCATTGAAGATCGTCAATGAGGGTTTAATTCTCCCCAGCCCCGTTAAACTTCTACATTCATTGAAGATCTTCAATAAGGGTTTAATTCCACCCAGCCACGTTAAACTTCTACATTCATTGACGATCTTCAATGAGGGTTTAATTCTCCCCAGCCCCGTTTAACTTCTACATTCATGGACGATCTTCAATGAGGGTTTAATTCTCCCCAGCCCCGTTAAACTTCTACATTCATTGACGATCTTCAATGAGGGTTTAATTCTCCCCAGCCCCGTTAAACTTCTACATTCATTGACGATCTTCAATGAGGGTTTAATTCTCCCAGCCCCGTTAAACTTCTACATTCATGGACGATCTTCAATGAGGGTTTAATTCACCCCAGCCCCGTTAAACTTCTACATTCACTGACGATCTTCAATGAGGGTTTAATTCTCCCAGCCCCGTTAAACTTCTACATTCATGGACGATCTTCAATGAGGGTTTAGTTCTCCCAGCCCCGTTAAACTTCTACATTCATTGACGATCTTCAATGAGAGTTTAATTCTCCCCACCCCCGTTAAACTTCTACATTCATGGACGATCTTCAATGAGGTTTTAATTCTCCCCAGCCCCGTTAAACTTCTACATTCATGACGATCTTCAATGAGGGTTTAATTCTCCCCAGCCCCGTTAAACTTCTACATTCATTGACGATCTTCAATGAGGGTTTAATTCTCCCAGCCCCGTTAAACTTCTACATTCATGGACGATCTTCAATGAGGGTTTAATTCTCCCCAGCCCCGTTAAACTTCTACATTCATGACGATCTTCAATGAGGGTTTAATTCTCCCAGCCCCGTTAAACTTCTACATTCATTGACGATCTTCAATGAGGGTTTAATTCTCCCCAGCCCGTTAAACTTCTACATTCATGGACGATCTTCAATGAGGGTTTAATTCTCCCCACCCCCGTTAAACTTCTACATTCATGGAGATCTTCAATGAGGGTTTAATTCTCCCCAGCCCCGTTAAACTTCTACATTCACTGACGATCTTCAATGAGGGTTTAATTCTCCCCAGCCCCGTTAAACTTCTACATTCATTGACGATCTTCAATGAGGGTTTAATTCTCCCAGCCCCGTTAAACTTCTACATTCATTGACGATCTTCAATCGGGGTTTCCGTGTCGCGCCGCGACGCAACGCCGTGTGCACTCTTGCAGAAGAAAGCGTCGCAGCGCCAACAGCGTCGCAGCGTCGCTCCCGCGTCGCAGCGTCGCAGCGTCGCAGCGCCAACAGCGTCGCAGCGTCGCTCCCGCGTCGCAGCGTCGCAGCGTCGCAGCGCCAACAGCGTCGCAGCGTCACTCCAGCGTCGCAGCGTCGCAGCGCCAACAGCGTCGCAGCGTCACTGGCCCAACGGCAGCGTCGCAGCGTCGCAGCGTCGCAGCGTCGCAGCGCCACCCGCCCCCGGGAGCGTCACAGCGCAACGTCGGAAACCCACGCTTCGGCCCCCTTTGCCCCTGCACTGCGAAGTTTTATGAAGCGCTTTTCACTTAGCTCTTTCAAGTTGCAGGCTTTGCAAAGACTAGCATGAGATCTCGGAGTTTGCAGACGAGGCAGCGGGTTTGGACTTGGCTCTGTGAGAGTCAGTCTTGCCATGTCTTGCCCATGAAATTCTATCAAAGTTGGAACCCCCCTGGTGGAAATGCTGGTGGATTTGGCATGGTTTCGCCATTTTTTGCGACTTCATATGACTTCATCACTTTGATCCCTCGTTTTGGGCTGCACGTCTGGCCACCGCAGGTCCTGGCATAAGATCCGAGATTTCAAAGTCGGCCAAGGCTGAGGTGAAACGGTGAAACTCCAGCGCGGTGATTCACCAACTGCAACTTTTGTGTAACATTTTGCAGCCACTTTTGTCTACAAAATTCTACAAAGGTGGCTGAACTCTTCTGACATTTTCACAAACCAGTTTTTTGGCAGTCATAGTCCAGTGTGCAAGATGCATCTAAAGAAAATCCATACAAAATGTCAGGAGAGAAGATAATGATCCTTGATTTGTGTTTCCTTTGCATGATGGAGGTCATGCATTAGACTCCTATCGGAGTACTCTTGACAGCTTGCGGCTGGCGCGATAAAAACACCTTTGGCCGAGACGGAGTTTGAATCTCCCGAGATCGTCTCAAGAATAGATGCATTACCTCTTTAGTTTCCACTCAGGCTAAACACATTGGAATGAAAATCACATCATTTGTATAGCTGGACTTGAGATCAAAGGGATTAAGCAGAATTAAGCAGACGACTTTTGGGGACTAACAAGATCTCACACCAATATATCAACGTAACGTAGTACAGTATTTGAAGGCGATTTTTCACGGCCCTGCTTGGTTTCTGAGTCCAATCTTTCACTGCAGGTTTGCAAGGGTGAGCCTTACCGCGATAAGAGCGACATGTGGTCACTGGGGTGTGTGCTCTACGAGATGTTTGGCAACCCAGCAACCAGGAACTGCCAGGAACCGTGGGGAAATGGTCGGAATTTGGGAAGATCTGGACCACAGGCTGTGCTTCAGCTGGAAAAAATTGATGGATTGGGTTTTTCGAGGTGCTTCAGGCGATGTCACTTCAGATTGGATTTTTGTACAGTGAGGCTCCATCTTTCAGATTCAGATGGGGATTTTGAAGGGCAAGATATTAGCACGACTCAAATCACAACATAGCCATAGGATCCATGTATGCTATATATGGTAACATTTACCATCAATATACCCAAATGTTACTGTAGCATATATACCATACATGGATCCTATGGGATAGCGAAATACCATTCCGAATCATTCCCGTTCCAAGATGTTCCAACCACTGCAGACATGTTTTTTGCCGCTAAGGTGCCGCTTCCGCCATGCCTTCGAGTACGAAACCTGGCTGGTTGACACCATTGATGCAGGTTGTAGGGTAGGGATTGGTAGTGGAGATCCAAGGCCAAATGAAGATAGTTTAGAAATCTTTCGGCGCAACTGCTTCTGGACTTGTTGACGATACCCCGACTTTGTCTCTTGCTAAGGTCCCAGTCTTTATTGGGCCTCGTTTATTGCATTGCCACGCGTCCTGAATCGGGAATGGGAAGTTCAGAAGAAGGTTGGAGCGAAAACAATTCTACAGCAATCCCCTCGGCATTGCTGCAATCCAAGATGTGTCGCCACCCGTCACCAGGCTCCGGGTCAATACTAAAACCATATCACCCAAAAGTTTGTTGTTCACATGGAATCTCTGATCATTCTGGCAACAATTTTTGGATGTAAATATCATTAAACATCCACAGTCGCAAGGTTTCAAATGTTTCAAGCGATTTCCAGCAGGTTGCAGCCGATTTTGATCGATTTTTGCCCTCCCAGCTGGTATTTGGTTGAGGTCTCGGAGCATTACGAACCCATCCCAGAGATCTACAGTGAGGATCTGGCAAAGGCGCGAAAGTGGACACGGTAACCAAGGGATCCAAGGGATCCAAGGGATCCAAGGGATTGAACAAGAAATGTGAGGAACATTGAGGAACTATCAGAACTATGGGGGCTAAATGGCGACACATGATGGTGAAGTTTGGTAGAGTTTGAGGTTTTTTTTCCTCAGCCTGGGTTGAATGGATGAGTTGGTAGATGAGAGGCCAACTTGCTTGCGTGACTACGTGCATTTTTTTCCTATGAACATATCTGACCTATCTTGACTTCAGCCTTTTGACGGTTTGACCGTTGCAGAAAATTGGAGTGAGATTGTGTTAGAAGAGAGCTAGCCCTTTGCTTTAAGAAGGCAACATTCTATGATCCGCTCCGGCTCTACAGGGGGAACTGGACATTTTTCTTTGCCTCCTGCACAGCAGCTTACTTTTTGCACGAGGATGGTAGGTTTGGAGTTTCAACCTTGCACCGCTACTGATGGTTGCCAGTTGGTCGCGATGCTCTTGTCCAAGACTGCTGAAGAACGCCCCAGTGCTCGTGAGGTGCTTTGGTGATTTGTGAATTGATTTCATGCTACTTGAAGGAACGAACGCCTCCAAGGCAGCATGCTTCGGCCCTGTGTGGTTTCAATCAATCCACCTGATTTCCACTGATTTGATAGCGATGTAGGCACATACCATGCTTAGATATTGATTTTGCATGCTCAGTTGCGCCACGGCACATTGGCTGTTTCAGAATGGAGGCTCTTGCTTTGCCAGTGCTTCAGCCGTACAGGCAGGGAATAGAGTTTTCAACATCGATTTTGGGGCAAGGTCTTTCTCCAGGAGTAAGGTTCATCGCGTTCAGTAGGCTCACTTGAGCTGGACATCTAGACACAAAAAGAAGCTTCAAAAACTCATTCGACGTTCAAAGCATGTGAAGACCAGACATTGGAATGACATGCGGCGAATCAAGTTGACTGCATTCCTGTGAGTGATCCGTTTCATCAACTTCTGCAGTCCAGTCTTACTTTCATGGGTCTTTCTGGATTGCAACGTCGCAGTGAACCTGATGCTCCACGGCCATTTGCCCGAACGGCACCAGCACGGGAGCCCTGAAAAATCTTGAAAGTCTATATGTTCAGCTGCCTCAATCTGCCCACAGAATCTTGTGCCTGGTTTCATTTGATGTAACTTGGTAATCTTAGGCGGAAGCTGCTCATCGGTCTGATGTCAAACTTTCAACATTTGTCTGAGGAACCCCAGACCTTTAATGAATTGCCCTATATCCCTCTCTGTGTGCAAACACCTACACACACAGACACACACTGTGAATCTGTTGTTTACCTGGACAATCTTGGACAAACTAGATCTTTCATTCTGTGCTGGTGATCTTTTTGGACAACGACAACTCAACGCCTTCGGCTTTTTTCGGCTCAAGCCCGAGCATCAAACGCAGTCAACTGACGGTGGTGCATCCCGTGCATCCCAACTTCTTTGGAAGGCTGAGCTTCTCGTGGAACCTGAGAGAATTGATGATTTCTGTGGATTTCTTTGCTTCAAAGTCTTCAAACTCTTCAAAGGAAATATAGGAAATGGATGGAAATGGTTTGGAGATGATTGGCGTGGTTTTCAGTATCCCATTGAGATCCCATCGGGATCGGTCGATGGAAATTCTCCCGTTTCAGCCCTCGACCAGATGGATATTGACCTCCTGAACCCTGATGCTCGCGAGGTGATGCAGCAGTAGATTGATATGTGGCGTGTATGGTGCAGGGAAGTCAATGGCAATTGCAAACTCAATGGAAACTGTATGGAAACTCAATGGAAACCCAACTTAGCTACTCTTTTGCTTACTGTAGATTTGCACACACACACACCGCAGAAAGTACCAGATTCCTGGCACTTGAGAACCAGCTCAAAAACATGCTGCAAGAATTTGGTACAGTCTGCCCTCTCTTTCAACAAGGCAACTTGCCTGTTCTCTTAAATGCCCTCAACTGGTTCCGCATGACATGTACCTGTCGGCACAGACTGAACGTATCACCAACGTTTGGAAGCTGAAGCTGCAGGAGAAGTGCAAGCACAAGTTGAAGCGCATGATCCAATCGCCAAACAGCTCCTTCAGACGCAGTTTGGAGCCGTGTATATATATATATACATTATTGCGATGTGGAACAACATGTCTCCTACGCCCAAGACGAGTGGACATCAAGACGGCAATCAATTCGACCACAAAGACAACGATGTAGACATATGCAGAAATTATATATATATGAAACTATATGAAATTACAGTATGTGTTGACTCAGCCATACGAATCCCAATTAGTTCATCTGACATAGCCGAGGCTTCTTCATGGACGTGAAGCAGCTTGGATGACATTGGCAAGTATTCGCCACTAACATTGGGTATGTGGCAGGTGGTACCTATAGTGATGTTTCCCGATGCGTACATTTTAGCAAGATGTTTCAAGTCAAAAGTGACATGCCTTGGAGATTTGGAAGTTCAAAAGTGACATCCACCCCAGGGCCCCATGCTGGATTCCGCTGGTCACATTCTGCAGGATTTGGGTGTGCCCAGGTGCCCAGGCTGTTTGCAAATTACGACCGTCTTCAGCCACGCCCAGACTGTCGTGCTGTGTGGGAGACTTGCCAAATCTAAAGCCAGCAATGGATCTGATGGACAGTAGGTTAGGAATCTCAATATTTGAAACTGGGATCCTCTGTGATTGGAAGGAAAGATGCCCCTGTATTCTACAGCGCAAATTCCTTGTGGTTTCAAGAGCAGAGGTGAGCTGGAAGGGGCGGATGTCACTCGTGACATTGATACTGCAAACACATCGTGCTTTTTGAGAGACCATATCCAGGATATCCGCATGTGTCTCATATTGCTTTTGCACAGATTCATATTTTTCGTCCTGGGCCGCCGCAATTCGGACGCCGCTGAGGAACTGCAACGTGATGCTTTGCCAACCAACAGGTGGTCTCGCGCGACTCACAGAAGGATGCTCCTTCCGTCGCAAGGCTGGTGGATCAGATTCTCAGTGGATCTCAGTGGATCTCAGTGGATTCCGTGTTGGAGTTCAAGGAACGCCTCTATACATAATAATACAATAATAATAATACAGTATATATATATACTGTATTATTATTGTATTATTATGTATCATTGCAACGCGCAAAAGCGTGCAAAGAGCGAGCACATCTCCGCAAAGGGCACCATGTATGTCATGTTGTGTCTCAAATTTGAGCTGCGCGACATTGCATGACCATGATCTTCTTGAAACGATTCAGACCAGTTCTCCAGCTATACCCGTCTGCCATAGTCACATTACTTAAAGTACATTAATTGCTTGACAGCCTGTCTGTTGCTCCCTGTGCAGGCTGATTGAGTGCCACCATCTTGAGGTAGTGAGGCAAATGCATTGAGGAACTGGTGTCTTGTAGTTGCTGTCTTTGTCGGCTGCATATGCAAAAGGTGAATGTTGCCCTGGAGGCAGACCAAGATGTCCACGAACAGGTAGGAACAAGATCATGATATATGGAGAAA